CCTTATCTCCAGGTCTTGAACCACCACCAGTGTGCATGTGAAACATCTTGGTAGAGCAAGCCCACAGTCTGCTGGCGGTCAGGTTCATGTATATGGTGAGCTGGTCCCATAAGCTCATTTCAGTTACAGGACTGGGTTTGGCCACTGAAATGAAAACTGCCACATTCCACTGGAACCAGTTATTACTAAATGCAGTTATTAAATTGTTATTACTAAGTCCAGTTCTCAAATCCCATTATTATTACTAAGTGCTGTTGACAGGCTATTTTCTGACCTCAAAACAGCTGATAGATTTACAGGTACAAAACACTATTTATCTTTAGTTGATCAGTCAATCTTCGTTATTCCTGTATCTGAATGTGCAAATTTGCCTATTCAGTAAAATTTATTTGTAACCCTGAAGTCAATACTCACAGAGCCTTTGCAGTCATTCACAGACATGAGCCAAGCTGCAAAAAATGTGAGTCACCCCCTGTGCACGTTTCCTGCTGAGGTCGAGCAAGGTGATGGTCTGACTTCTTGTTTCAGCTCCACTCAGAGATGGACAGAGGATGGAGATGCTAGGGAGTGCGATATAGAGCAAGAATCTCCAGCTCTGGGGCCAGTCAGAGTAAGTGTGAGTCCCAGCGCTGGCATCTGTTAGCGAGGTGACCTCAGACAAGTCACTAAGCACTTCCGAACTTTGTTTTCTCTTTTTTTAAAATAAAGAAAATGAAATCTACTAGGATGAATTGCTTTAGGGTTGAAGATTAGAATTTATAGCTATGTGAAATATGTGTATGTATATTTGTGTGTGTGTGCACGCATGTACACATGCACACATGAATGTATGTGTGTGTATGCCTATACCCACATATATACAGGTACATATACATATATACACGTCCATGTGTATGTATACATACACACACGCATTTCCCTCAGAGCAGTGGATCTGCATTCCCTAATTCGCAGTGACTTTATAGAACATAACTATGATGAATAACAACCATCAATTGTATAGCATTGGCCAAGCTCCATGCAGCTCTGGTGGTAAACGTGCAGTTAATCCAGATCAGCCGAGACTTACCCATGCCTGCTCTATGTAAGGGATTTTCACATAGATTTTATGATAGATGTAAAGATATTAAAAAAAATAACAACACAAAATCCTTGCTCCTAAATAAGAAATCAGTAGGGGGAATTGGGTTCTGCAATAAAAACAAAGGGAGAAAATATATAGGTAATAATTTTTAAAAAGACACATCAAAAGCTATATAAAGTTAGAAGTTGGAAACATCCTCCTGGGTCCCACCTCCTTGTACTTCGTATGTATTTATTGAACACGTGTCACATTCCCACCTACAGTAGAGCCATTTTTTATGTGACTTATTTCTTTGCAATATTGTAGTTATTTGGGAGCAGTGACTAGATTGTACCTGTCTTTAAATCCTCATAACATTTAGTAGATACCAAATACATGTTTGTTGAGTGAACAAAAGGTTAGATGGATGTGTCCACCCACTGTGATTATTTAATGTCCCAGAGATTTCTCTCTACTCTCTCCAGCATCATCTTTGATCTGGGTCACTCAGGAACAAACTAGTTGTTGGACCAACTGTTATGATGAATTAATGCAAGGAGATAATATATTCCCATTTATGATGTCCTTTTAAGTGTTATTTATTATTAATTTATTTATCTCAGTGGGGAGGCACATGCTTTAACCCAAAGGGAGAAATAATGGGGGAATTTGTGAGCTAGTATCTCCACCTGCTGCAAAGTCAGGAAGCTAGTCCTGTGTGGATTTCTAGGCTCATCTACTTGTCTGAACTGCTGAATAAGGCTTTTCTGACCTCATCATTTTAATGGATTTATTATAAAATATTTCAAACATACAGAAAAATATATATAATTTCATAACAAATATGTGTGTGTGTGTATTACCCAACTCTTAGATTTGTGAAACTTGTAGTTAATTAATTATGATATTTTAAGGCTTCATCACAGATTATCTTTCTTAGTTCCAATTAATCAATTAATAACTAATTACTTGCTAGAACTAATTTCATACCCTTTCCTCCTTATCCATGGATAACAAATATTCTATTATTACATATTTATGCATCTGAATAATATGCAGTTTTGTTTTGCATATTTTAAGCTTTACTTAAATGGCATTTTACTGTACCTAATCTTCTGCAGTTTGTTTGCTTTGCTCAAAAATTTTGAGATTTATCTATGGCAATATATTTAGGTCTAAGTTCTTTATTTTCACTGAAGTATAGAATTTTAATTTGTGAATATATCATAATTCATTTATCAATATCTATTAATGGACGTTTATGCAATTATGAACTTAGGCTTTTTTTGATTACCTATTATTATTTTAACATGATCTTGCTTAAATACATATGAACACCCAATCACTGCATTCAGTGTAACAAGGTAAAAAAGGTAACAAAATAAAATCTAAAGTTCCAATAAGAACAGAGTAGGCCATTTAAAATTTTTCTGTTTTTATGAAATTGTCTGAGTATTTACCTAGATTCTATTTTCTGAAGGAACATAAAACACTTTTACAATTCAATTTTAAATGCACTAGGATCAAGTTTTTAAAATGTGTTAATTGTGAAGTGAGAGACTGTATGGTGTGTAATGATCAAGAGGCTGGCCTTTAAATTAGATGCCAGTGGGCTCCTGTATCTGCTATTGATTCTCTGAGAGACCTGGGCCACGGTACTTAACCTCTTTTAAGTCTCAGTTCCTTGTGAGTAAAAAGGCGATAACTGTTGAACCCAGTTTATAGGGTTGTTGTAAATGAGGTATAAATTCATAAAAGCTAAGGGTTTGGCATATACTAAGGAAACACCAATAGACAGAAAAAGAAAAGCCCTGCCAACAAATTTAAGAGTCTTTATATTTAGGATATATATATAATTCTCTCTATATATAAATTTTCAGTTATTTAAAGAAGCCATAGTTTTACATTAGACTTGGGCAACTGTTGTTATTATAATAGTGACTTCTGAAAAATATTTGGGGTTGATACTGTAGTTCTCCATACAGGGACGCCCATGTATAATGGGGTATTTTTGTAACCTCAAAAAGCTAAACATTATTAGAATTTGAAAATTTACTGTGGTGTGCAGAATTCTAATCCTCCACAATTTATGTTAAAGTAACACGTCAGTGGGAAACAGCAACCCTTTTATTTTTAACACAGTTAAAGATTTGTGAGTACAAAAATGAATGTTATTTTGTTAGTAACCAAACAAGTACTTTTTATTATTGATGAGATACCAAGTATGTAAAAAAGAATTTTTGGAAATCACTGTGCTTGATAATTAGGCTGAATAAAATATGATGATAGAGACTTTTAAGGCCTCATCACAAGTTCTCTATTTTAGGTGTCAAAATTGTGCTTTTTAACACCAAAACGTGACTAGGAAAGACTCAGCCATGCTGTGACCCACCACAATTCTGCGCAAGAATGAACATAATATGCTCTTAACAGCAATTGATTTGTGTAGCTAAATCTTCAATACATGCAAGCATTCTGGGACAGAAATGGGATGGGTCTAAGCCTGTCTTTTGTATGTTAATATGCTTTCACAGCAAAGGTATGCGAATTAACACAGACTGGAGTATTCTTGAAGAAGACATTTATCTCCTTATTGCCGTCTGTGATGAATTGTGCGGAGCTAAAGGAACCCCAGGCTTGAACCAAATCTCCTGCTGCCCTATATAGTTTTCACAGTCTGTTTTTCAATAGCACAAAGTCAGGAAGCCTCACTGCTAGACCAGCACTTCTTCAGGAATCTTCCCATAGTATGACAGGAAAGAACCATCTGTAATACAAATCAACACTATTATTTTCAAACTAAGCACTTTAAAACGTTGCTTGAATAAGAAAAGACAAATTTGCCAAGTTGTGTGCTATTTTGCAGTTCATGTAAGATTACACTCTGAATTGCACTGCACTGAGTGTTTCATTTTTTCTGATGCATCTTAAGTTGAACTGGGTAAACAGCATTAGATATTTGATTAGTATTAATATGCAAGATGCTATGATTAGGTATGATTGTTCTTTTAAACTACCACACTTTTTTTTTGTAGTATTCCTTTGATCTCTAACAGATAGTGAAAACATTTGTAATTTAAAGTATATTGACTTTGATTCAGACATTAATTTTCCTGTTGCAAATTTACTGATACCTAAAATATATAGCTAGATGGTTAAAAAAAAAAAGTCTGCAAAAATGATGCCAAGTTGTCTCTTTTCAAATTGTGTCTGAAGCCATTTTGTCTTTTAAGTTCTTGAATCTTAATTTACGATGAGGGACCTGTAGCCAGTGATTTTTTGCATACTTTGGAGAAACAGCAAGGAGATTGACCTTATAAGGTAGTTGCATTTAAATGATCATAGTTGAACTAGTACTGGGTTTCTTGTCCTGACATTAGCTTTGTTTTTTCTGTATAGCATGGGATTAGGGACCACCTTTTTATTTGTTTGTTTGTGTGATATATGTATGTATATATATATATATATATGAGAGAGAGAGAGAGAGTCATTCTTACAGTTTTTCTTACATTCCACTAAATCCCTACCAATATTTTAAAAAAAGATTTTCTGGTATTGAATTCTAATTTTTAGTATGTTTGGTGATTAATAGTGTGGTTCCTTGAAATGACTGAAGACCTTCAATAAAGGGAAAATTTCACATATAACCTTCAGTTTTTAAGAAAACCGTGTTGTAAAATGCTTCTGAAACTCTGTATTTTGACAAGGCTGGCTTCCACTTTGAATGTGTATAAAGTCAGGAGGCAAGTGTCTCACTCTTCTAATAATCAGTTGTTTCACTTGTCATCTCACATCAAACCATGATTTTCCTATGGTAGTACTTAACTCACCTGACTCCAGCCACTATGAATGTATATCTGTAGCTGGTAAAACATCTAGTTATCACTCTGTCTATTTAGCTTGTTCATACTAATGATTTATTTTCATTTTTTTCTAGGATATAGACCTGAAGCTAACTGGATTTGATTTATAAGAGGGAAATGTACAGTCAATGGCCACTCTCGTCACATTGCTACTATGGAAAACAGAATGATCAATAGGATATGGTCTGATAAATAGTGATGACTGAAGATGCTACTTCAATACGTGTGAAATCAGTGGGAGATACTGGCTGCATGAAGAGCTTTCTGAGCTTTTCTTGACAAGCTCGCTTTTAAGAAATCGGAGGTGTGTTCTACCATTAGACAGTCTGTCTCAAGTGGATACAAATACCTTCGCCTCACTGTAACCAGACAACTACACAACTAATGTGGGACCATGGCACTGCCCAGATGCACGTGGTCAACTTATACTTGGAGAGCAGTAATGGCGTGCTTGGTCCACAGGGGATTGGGTGCCTCATTGACCCTCTGTTTGCTGGGCTGTTTGCTTCAGGCTGCCCATGTGCTCTCACAAAAATTGGATGATGCAGACCCTCTGGTGACTACCAACTTCGGCAAGATAAGAGGGGTTAAGAAAGAACTCAATAATGAAATTTTGGGTCCTGTTATTCAGTTTCTTGGGGTTCCATATGCAGCCCCACCAACAGGGGAACATCGTTTTCAGCCTCCAGAACCACCATCTCCCTGGTCAGATATCAGGAATGCTACTCAGTTTGCACCTGTGTGTCCCCAGAATATCATTGATGGCAGATTGCCAGAAGTCATGCTTCCTGTGTGGTTTACTAATAACTTGGATGTGGTTTCATCATACGTACAAGACCAGAGTGAAGATTGCCTGTATTTAAACATATATGTCCCAACTGAGGATGGTGAGTTCACCAAACAGGGAGATATATTTTCCTTTTCTATTCTAAGTTCTAACAATATTAATTCATGTGTACTGGTAGCATGCATGGCTTTTCCTGTTGGCATGTAGACATATTTTACATGCGTGCATGCCGCTCTTTTTGTTTATGTGTGTTGGTGTATCTGTTCATATTTTTTTTTCCTGTGCCTACTCATTTTCTTTCCTCTGCAGCACGTATATTCAGGTAGAAATGGGTTCCTAATTTCCATTTCCTACCGAATGACTTCTGAGAAGATGCATCAGCATTTCTCCATTGCATGTGCAGGCTCAACGAATTGGGGATCCTTCGCACTCAGTAAACGCAGGAGCGTATTGAGTTAGATAGTGGTGTTGCATGTTCCGGCGGTCTGTGATGGAGCGCCATGTTATTTTCTAGTCTTCTATTCATTTTTCAGTAAAAAGAATATCCAAGGAATGTGCCAGAAAACCCGGCAAGAAAATATGTAGAAAAGGAGGTATGTATAAAAGTGGAAACAAAAAATGGGGGAAACAGCTTGCAGAGGAAGAACAAGATATTCTCCCTGAGGATGATTTGCTGACGCTGGGAAGTGAATGGTTAGGTGATACTTGGAATTAATGATGTCCGTCAAAGAACAGAAAGATGGTTAAGGAGAGCGCTAGCTGAGTAGAGGACATTGACAGAGCTCCTTGGTGGTGCCTTGTGTGCTGGTGCTGGTAGCATTGGCAGGAGCTGACTCTCTGCTTTGAGTTTGTGTGTAGAGGAAGAGATACTTAGGCCATTTCTGTTGCCTGCAGGGGACCCAAAGATGCTGCCTTCCCCAGTGGTCAGCTTTGATCTCTGAACCCTTTTCTACAGAGAATAGATTCCTATTTCTCTTAAAATTGATCAGTTCAGTCACAAGCCTAGTTTTGCTTGTTTGTTTGTTTCTCCTTAGTTTCTTATGAACACCCTATGAACTTTCTCATGTAAGGGTAAATTTGCCGTAACTATTGGGCAGTTACCATTATTAAGGAACGGTATTTTGTTTTCCCAGGCAGTCTTTCCATTTTCAGTCACTCTTTCAGAAGAAAATGAGATTTTGCAGCTTTTTATACTAAATATTTACAGTCTTAAAATTGCCTTAACATTTTTATATTTATGTTAAACAATTTAAAACATAGGGAAGAACATGATTCAGAAGCTACAATTAAATCAACCTTCAAATCATCCTCTAGCCAGATTGAGCAAATGTAGACACTGACAGCTGCAAGCTTGCATCTGAATGTAGTTTGTCCACAATCCATTTTTATATAACATCCAGTAAATCACTCCTAGGAGAGTATGATTTTCCATGGCAGTAAATTATCTAAGTGTTATTTTGACCTTATTATAACTTTGTAGAATTTTCAATCTTCATACAGAAGTCATATTAATATTCTAGTGCTGTACATTCTATCTCTCTGTGCACTTCTAATCTCCTGGCTGGACCAAGTCAGATTTCATTACAACATCCTCGTGGGGTGGGAAGTGTCTCAACTGTTCTGTTTTACTACGATTGCATTATGTGGAAGAAGCTTCATGAAACTGAATCCTCAATTGCAAATCAGCAGTATTTGCCTTAAATTGAGTTTTAATTTGTTTTATTTTTGTTCTTGTTTCTTTGGCCATGCTAATAGAATGGGATTCAGCCTTTATTTTATTATTGATGTCATCATTCGGGTTAAAAGAATAGCGTGCTTTAGAAGGTGGATGTGGAGGCAACAAGAAGGATTCTTTAAATAACTAAAACAAAGTCTCTTGTTTTTTTCCCAAATGAGACTAACTGCAGTAATTTACATGCTTTCAACTAATGTACACTGCTGCAGTGGTTATTATTATGCAGCTTATCAAGCATGTGTAATTAGCTAAGTGACTTTCGCCTCCTATCATAAAGATGTTGATTCACAAAGTCATAAATAAAGATACTATTGAAGAATGCATAACTAGAGCATAATACATGAAAATATGTACAATAAAAAAAAACCCGATAAGGACATCAAAAGGTAAGCTAGTATGTGAGAAAGTGACCTTTCTTCTCCTACAACTTCAGAGGGAAATGGATTCATTAGGAGATTCTTTTGCATTGTTCTTTGGATTGCTGGTTCCATCTGCTTTATGAGAGAATTGGCAAAGAAGCATGTAGGCTGTGCTGTTTCCTTTGGCAAACTTTGAACTAGTTTATAATTAGCCTGAGGACAAGATCTATAGATGCCTGTGTCAGTCTGTGTATTATACAGTCCAGATCTATTGTGTTTTTATATCAAGAATTCTAAAGAATTGTTTTACTTTGGTTTTTTGGTATTTAATATATCCCACTATCATTAAATAAGTTCTGCTTTTTTATTAGCTGTTTGTATATTGTCCTAAAATCTAAATAACATAGAATTTAAATGTAATTGTCTATATAAATAGTCTTTTTTTTTTTTTAAAGAAACAAAAGTAAAGTTAGAGCTTGACTTTTAGGCAGAAGAGAAGAAAAATTTCCCGACTTTCAACTTTTTTTGCTGTCATGAAGGGTCCATTCTGGTCACTTCAAGAAATTATATTATCCTGGTTCAAAAAGTATTAGTTATTTCACATTTATGCATGCACTAATATATATTGCATGT